GATCCTTAAACTAGATTGCCTCGTCTACCTTGTTTGTCCAACATTCACCATGCTTTTATTCTGATCTAATGTCCATTTTTTAGTTTATAAAGGACATAAAATGTATCTGTGCTGTGTTAATACAGCACTAATAATATATAGCAGCCAAGGGACTCATGTAGAAATTAAGAGGCTATTCTAATTTACAGTGTCCCCCTGGACAAATAGGGAAGGGGGAGCATGACTGCTGCCCAGGATAGTGGGATGGTACAATGGTAGCAACAATGTTGCAAAGATGGAAGGATTTATAAGGGGGAGCACGGGAGGAGACTTTCCAGTCAGTAGGAGATTGTCATTACCCTGGTTGAATTTCTTTCACTGACTGTAAATTTTTCTGAAATTTCTTTCCTGGGATTACCTGGGCCTGCAAAATAAACGACAATCTCCTGTTAATTCACTGATAGAGGACTAGGCTTCAATATGGCCACCCCATCTCTGGAAGAATTGGTGAAAATGATGGCAGCTTACCAGGAGTCCCATGGATCTTTGGACCAGGTTCAGCAGGCTGCAGGAGGACGACTAGACCGGCGTGAGTGTGATGATTCCTCGCTGAGCGGGCGGAGGGCCAGGAGGTTAAGGCCTCCGTCGCGTTTATCCCCGAGTCCAGTGCGGAGGAGCGGAGGAAGGAGTGTTCCACGGTTCGAGGGATGCAGCGGTGAGGCCGGGCGCTTACCAGCGCGAAGATTAGCCAGTTGGAGGCGGAGAATGGCCGGACAGGTGATGGTGGAGTCCGGGCCCCAAGATGGTGGCGATCAGGTTGGCGGGAACCCGGCCGGAAGGTCGCGCAGCCTGCGCGCTTCTCTTCCGGCGCGGGTGAGTGTGACGTCATCATGCACGCAAGCCGGCGTGCGTGCAACGTCGGACGTCATGACGCCGCGGCGCGCATGCGCGCGGCCGACCCGGGCTGGAGCCGGAAGTTCCTCTGCGGTACAGGAGCACTGTGAAACAGTGCAAAAAGGACCGCAGAAGTGCGCACCCGGCACCTGCGGGTCCCAGCAGCGGGAAGCAGATGGCAGCAGCACTCAATCCGGATCTGAAGATAGAGATGAAGAGGCAGTGTTCCCCAGTGGGTCCGGTCTGCCTCCTGCAGCATCAGCGCGTGAGTACTGCGCTAGCGCTTGGGATGCACTTGCTGAGGATGATAGGGGGCAGAGTTCACAGGTACTATGGGAGTTAGGTAAAAAAAGGGATTTAAGCAGAGTTGATTTAATTAGACAAGGTGATTTAGTGAGTCAGGGTTTAGTAGCACTGGGGATCTAGTTAGTTTATTGAGGTCTGTTTTGGAGCGGTTGCCTAGCGATGTCCCCTCTTCTAAGTGGATGGGTATGCGGTCTGCGTCGCAGATTCCTGTCAGGGACAGGGTTACGGGCATTTTGCGTCCGCAGTTGCCGGGCTGTGAGTTGTCCCCATTGGGCCTGTATGTCGCAGCAGACGACAGAGACAAAATAGTCCGAGGTGAGTACGTCGACTTCCTGGCGCTGGTTCCGCCGGACAGGGAGTCGGTGGATAGACCGCGGCGAGGTGAGATGGGTGACGGGGGAAAAAGGTAGGCAGCTTCCTCGCACTTTTGGAAATTGGCTGCAGGGTTTTTCGATTTTTGCGAGCATATTAACGGGTAGTTTTCCGGATAAGGCTCCCTCATTGTTCTGTTATTTGGATCTCATTTGGGGGGCGTACAAGAGTTATGGGGGGCAATGCTGGTACCGATACGACCAGCAATTTCAGCAGAAGATGGCGGTTAGCGAGGGCATGGATTTTGGTGTACAGGATGGCAGCTTATGGCTGCTGTTGATGACGCCTTGCCGGCTCTCCCCCTTTCCAGGGACAGCCGGCGCGCTGGCTAGTGCGCCGGCAGGGCAGCGCAAGGGAGTCTGTTGGCTCTTTAATGAGACCCACTGTAAGTGGTACAACTCATGCAGGTTCCGGCATGAGTGTTCGCACTGTGGCGGAGCACATACCGCCGTACGCTGTTTCAAGAAAGGTAAGGCAAGGGTGCGCCCCAAGGACGACGTTCCTAGACAGGAGGACGCCGGTGAGCGTCGAAAGGATGCGCCCGTGGCTAGACAGCGAGAAGCCGGTGTTTTATTGGACGGATTATTTGGTTTTTGGATTCCGTTTGTTTTTTTCTGAGGCGCAGTCGTTTGCGGTCAATTTACGTTCGGTTTTGGGTAAAGAGGATATTCTTGAGCAGAAATTGGACAGGGAGGTGTCCTTGGGCCGCATGGCGGGACCGTTTTCTGAGCCCCCATTTTCTAACCTGCGAGTGTCGCCCCTGGGCTTGGTCCCTAAGAAAGAGACTGGGGTCTTCTGTCTCATTCACCACCTGTCCTACCCAGCAGGCGGGTCGGTGAATGATGATATTGATAAAGAAGTGTCAAGGGTGCGTTATGCTTCCTTTGACAGGGCCCTGGAGTTAGTGAGAGACGCAGGGTCTGGGGCATTGCTTGCAAAATCGGACATCGAGTCGGCTTTTCGTTTGCTTCCGGTTCACCCGGACTGTTTCCACCTTCTGGGTTGTCAATTTAATGGTTTGTTCTATTATGATATGTGTTTGCCCATGGGGTGTGCCATATCCTGCTCCTATTTCGAGATGTTTGCGACATTCTTGGAATGGGTGGTGTCTCAGGTGTCGGGTTTGTCCTCGTTGACCCACTACCTGGATGATTTTTTGTTTGTCGAGTCTGGTGGTTACTTGGGGATCGAGATTGACTCTTGTGAGATGGTCTTTCGATTACCAGAAGAGAAGCTGGGTCAGTTACTCTGCCTTATTGACCGAGTCAAGGGCTCTAAAAAAGTTCAGCTGCAGCTAATGCAATCGCTTTTGGGTCATCTGAACTTTGCTTGTCGTGTTCTGTCTATGGGCCGAGCGTTCTGTCGTCGCTTGTCCCTGGCTACGGTGGGGGTTAAACAGCCATTTCACTTTATCCGGATTACAAGTAGACTGCGGTCAGACTTACAGGTGTGGAGCGCCTTTTTAGGTACGTACAATGGTCATTCTTGTTGGTTGCACTCGGAGGTGTCGAACGGTGAACTGGACCTGTTTACTGACGCATCGCGG